TTTCAGAGCCTAATTCCCACGCTAGGTAAGAGCCAGTAAATGATGTAAATACATAAGAAATATGCCTTAGAAGTGCGATCTACATATTTTATAAAAAGAAAATAGTGTTATTTAAATTAGTTTCAACAAAGAAATTAAAAAGGTTATCAATGGATTTGATGGAAACGAACCATTTTAATCACACTATAATATGCACAAATACCATTTAATGCCTTGATATCAATCTCATTCCTCTGATCACTCGATATATCCTTAATCTACATAAATCCACGAAATAATATTAGGTATACATTGATTTTCCACCCGGAGCCTGGAGTCAACATAGATCGTGTGAGTATCATAGAATTTAGGCTGATTAAGAGGGAAATTGGCTGATTAACGAAAATAACTGGAATTTGGATGAAAACTTGAAGCAATTAATTTTCATAAACCTTCATGTAGATTATTTATACCTGATCAGATAAAGTCAGTTTTTCAAAAACAGGCATAGATTTTGCAATACCGACAAGCAAAAGTCTGTCAACTAAAATGCATTTTTGACCTCTACTAGTATATAATCCTTCATTTTGAAATGAAGACTCCCAACTATTTAATTCATCAAAAGGTATTGGACTTGGATTTAGCTTTAAATGGGATTAATTTTTATTAAAAATTAAATTAAAATTTACTGAAAAATTCCCAGTTAAACGAAAAATATTAAAATTAGATGAAATTATTTCTTCAAACAAAATAGGGCCATTAAGGAATATATCATCCAAATCATTAAATGCATGCATAATACGTTTTTTGGCTTCAATAATTGGTAAAATAGAGTTTATTAGCTTTTGGTCTTTGATGGATATGGTGACAGTTGGGGAATTTAGTATCTTAAAAATGTGAGAATTTTAATTCTTGTTTTATTATTATTCTTTCGGATATTCAACATAATGCAGGAGGTATGGAAAATTTTAAAATCAGTTATATAAAACTTCGTAGATTTTATTTTGCTAAAAATATTTGGATGCTTTTCTCGATTTCGATAATTTGAACTTTTTCAATATTCGATTTTCAGATTTTTTTCAAGACAACCCTAGTCAGTAGAGAAAGCGATGTTTCCTATTCCTGTATAAAATAAATAAATTTACTTTATTTTCATTTTTTTGTTCCTCCATCGCTTCCCGACATATATCATGTCGTAAATATCCAACATCTAAAATGCTTTTTTATTTAGGGTTCAGCAGTACAGTATTCCGAGAAAAATCGGTATCGGTATCAGTAAAATCGGTATCGGTATTCAAAGAGACCGCTATTCAATAATACCGCTCGATACCGGTCGGGATCCCGATGCAAACCGCTGAACCCTATTTTTATTATTAATTATTTTTAAATATTGGATACCGTATTTCTGGTCTATTGTTTTTATTTCAGTTAAATCCGCATGAAGGGATATAAAAGGATTAGAAGTGATTAAGAGAGTATTGGAGATTTGCAGGGTTAATGGGGGATTTTTGGGATTAAACTGATTCGGTGATTAATTTATCAGTAATTTGGAGGGATATCGGGTGATATAAGAGGGGGGGGGTGGACAGTTTTTTACCCTTATTTTGACAAACCCAATTTTTTCATTCCAACAGAAAGACATTTTTCAAGTCTGCATTTTTTACATTTTGCCAATTTTGGTTGGGATTTTTCGTCTGTATTTTTATCTGAACATTTACACAAATTATATTTCCATTGATTTTCGTTTTCAAGATAACGCCTTTAGAAAAAAAAATTTTGGAAAAATTACATCATATCTCCATACACCGAGTTGGGGAAACAATATTTCATTCGAAAGTGCTCGACGAGTAAGTCGAAAGAGCACTAAAATCAGCTCGATTGGATAATTCTGAACAAGGTTATAAAAAAATGTTTGGGGTCAGTGACTAGGCTCGAAGAGAAGTATGACAAAGTTAAGAAAAATGACAAAGCATCAATTTCTCTTTTTTACCACATCATTAGGGGGTGTATCTTTGGAACCGGTTCAGAACTGCTACTGGAACCGCGTCAATTCCGGAACTGGAACTTTTCCATCGCTGCCCACAGGTTAGTCCGGAAGCTATTTTTCCGAATGAAATATTATTTGTCCAAATAAAGTATGTGAGTCTAATTTATTAATAAAAAAATACCGGAAAAAAGACCCACAAGCCATACATGTACAAATTCCATAATGAAAATAAACATGTTCTTTTGTCCCACAAACTTTGCATTTTTTAATAAAATTTCTTTGCATTTTTAAAATTAAATTGTTATTTTTTCTAATTAAAATAAAGTTGATAAATGCTTATTATCAAGCTTTTAAGGATATTTTTATAAAAATTTAAATAAAGGGTTTAACTAAAGAATATCGTTTATAGAATTTTTTTTCAGGCAAAAATAATTTTTATTTTAACTTAACTAAAAAGATAAATCTCTCTTAAAATAATGAATATTAAATATTATTAATTATTTATATTTCATTAAATATTAAAAAATTGTTGGCAAAATTGTTGGTATATTAAATTTAAAGCATTATGAGAATAATTTAGGTGTAATGGAATTTTTATTTATTAATTTTATTTTCCTAAAAAAATTAACCTTTAAGACATACTGTGATAAACTTTCATGTCATAAAAATCACTCAAAAACCTAGAAAGTGATGAAAATGTTATTTATAAACTAAACTCATTATTTTTCAAAGATGAATTTTTGGCGCTCTAATAAACAAATTTTCTAAACAAAAATTGAATAGCAGAAAGTTGACTTGAATGATTGGATATAATCAATTTAGTTAACTTTGAAACCTCTCTCATCATTCTATGAATGAATATTTTATTTCATAAATAAAATTTTATTTAAAAAACTTAAATTAATTCAAAACAGCTAATTAAACAAAAAAAAATTTAAATGAAAAAGAAAAATTAATTTTTATTATCATTAATCTAAAAATGGTTATTTGCCATCATCGGGCATTTTGACTAGCGTCATGCCTGCATCACACACTGAAAAATATTTTAAATTAAAAAAAGGTGGTTCTATTTTAGTTAATTTATTTGGAAATTAGGGGGGATTTGGTGAATCCACATCCTATGTGGAGGGATATGGATGATGCCTGAATATCCCTCCACAACCCATGATATCGTCCGTAATCACCATAGGTGTATTCGAACGTGTTTAATTTTGATTTGTCAGCTAAATAAACAATTATTTTAAACAAAAATTTAAATGAATATTGTGAGGGATATTCTGCTGCTAGTTGAAGGGGAGAGGGTAATGAGAGAGTAATAATAATTCTGAGAGATAATGAGAGGTAAAGAGATTATTTGAGCTTACATATAACGTTTTGAAAACTAAAAAAAAAAAATTAATTATTTAATTGACTGATTCGGTGTCATGAGGAAATGATGTGAAGTTGAGAAGGGAGGATGGAAAAAGGGGAGTTGGTGTACGAAATTGAATATTAGCTAAAATTTATTTAAACCAGCTAATTAAACACAAAAAATATCCAAATTTTTTATATATTTCATTAAAACCTCCTTAATAATCCCTCACCAAATCCCCCTAATTTCCAAATAAATTGACTAAAATAGAACCTCTTTTTTTAATTTAAAATATTTTTCAGTGTGGGATGGAGGCATAACGCTTTTCAAAATGCCCTCTCTTTCTCTCTCATTATCTCTCAGATAATTACCTTCTTCTCTCTCTCATTACCCTCTCCCCTTCAACTAGCAGCAGAATATCCCTCACAATATTCATTTAAATTTTTGTTTAAAATAATTGTTTATTTAGCTGACAAATCAAAATTAAACACGTTCGAATACACCTATGGTGATTACGGACGATATCATGGGTTGTGGAGGGATATTCAGGCATCATCCATATCCCTCCACATAGGATGTGGGGGGATACCTTTCCAAATCCTCCTTAATTTCCAATAAATTAACTAAAATAGAACCTTTTTTTTAATTCAAAATATTTTTCAGTGTGGGATGCAGGCATGACGCTAGTCAAAATACCCGATGATGGCAAATAACCATTTTTAGATTAATGATAATAAAAATTAATTTTTCTTTTTCATTTAAATTTTTTTGTGTTTAATTAGCTGTTTTGAATTAATTTAAGTTTTTTAAATAAAATTTTATTTATGAAATTTAATATTCATTCATAGAAAGATGAGAAAAAAAGTTTTGAAGCTACCTAAATTGATTATATCCAATTATTCAAGTTAAATTTCTTCAATCTAATTTTTGTTTAGAAAATTTATTTGTTTATTCAGCTGATAATTTTACAAACTTAAATGAGAGTTAAACACGTTCGAATACCCCAAAGTCATCCATATAATTTTTTAAATTTTAATATACTAACAATTTTTCCAACAATTTTTTTAATATTTAATGGAATATAAAAAATTAATATTTAATTATTTTAAAAGCTAATAAAGCCGTTTTTCTTTTTTGTTAAGTTAAAATAAAAATTATTTTTGCCTGAAAAAAATTTCTATAAACGATATTCTTTAATTAAACCGGTTATTTCAATTTTTATAACTATCCTTAAAAGCCTGATAATAAGCATTTATCAACTTTATTTTAATTAGAAAAAATAACAATTTAATTTTAAAAATGCAAAGAAATTTTATTAAAAAATGCAAAGTTTGTGGGACAAAAGAACATGTTTATTTTCATTATGGAATTTGTACATGTAGGGCTTGTGGGTCTTTTTTCCGGTATTTTTTTATTAATTTAATTTAAAAAGATTTGATGAAATTCTGTCATAAATATCTCATATACTCCGATTTGGACAAATAATGCTACATTCGAAAGAACTCGTCGAAATGAGTCGAACGACAACAAAGATAGCTTCCGTACTCACATATGGGTCGAGATAAAGTCGCATGAAAATCAAAAAACTATATGAGTTTTTTGTTTGTAAAGACAACATATTGTTTGTCCAACTCGGTGTATGGGAGTTATGACGGAATTTTTCCAAAAATTTCTTTTCAAAAGGCGTTATCTTGAAAACGAAAATGGATGGAAATATAATTTATGTAGATGTTCAGAAGAGAATAAGGACGAAAAATCCCAACAAGATTTGGCAAAATGTAAAAAATGCAGACTTGAAAAATGCCTTTCTGTTGGAATGAAAAAATTGGGTTTGTCAAATTAAGGGTAAAAAACTGTCCACTTCCCCCCCCCCCCTCTTATATCACCCGATATCCCTCCAAATTACAAACCCTATTCCCCGAAGCACCAACCGATCGGTTTATGTGTTTCCTATAACCAATTAGCTTATATCCGCCGATTTTACTCCAAAACACAGAAATAATCGACCTAATCAATGTTGATCCCAAAAATCCCACGATATCTCCAATACTCTCTTAAATCTCCAATACTCTCTCCCTTCACGGGGATCCAACAACTGGAGGTCGAAACATTAATCTAACAGGGTAGTTCTTACCGGAAATACAGTATCCAACATTTAAAAATAAATTTTAATAAAAAAAGTATTTTAGAGGTTAAATATAACCGCCATGATGTAGTATGCCAGGAAGCTTTGGAGGAACAAAAAAATGAAATTAAAGTAAATTTATTTATTTTATACAGGAATAGGAAAGACTCAGTTACTTCTGACTAGGGTTGTTTCGAAAAAAAAATCTTTGAAAATCGAATTTTGAAAGAGTTAAAATTATCGAAATCGGGAGAAAAATATCCAATTAGGTATCTTTAGCAACATAAAATCTACGAAGTTTTATTGAACTAGAGTAGCAACAGGGCGATGCCGAGGTCGAGGCCTCGCTGAGGTCCTCGGCGATTTTCTAGCCTCTGTGATCCTCGGCTTTTTCGAAAAACCTGACCTCGTGCTACTCTATATAGAACCGATTTTAAAATTTTCCATACCTCCTGCAATATGTTGAATATCCGAAAGAATAATAACAAAACAAGAATTAAAATTCTCTTTATTTTTAAGATACTAAATTCCCCAACTGTCACCATATCCATCAAAGACCAAAAACTAATAAACTCAATTTTACCAATAATTGAAGCCAAAAAACGTATTATGCATGCATTTAATGATTTGGATGATATATTCCTTAATGGCCCGATTTTGTTTGAAGAAATAATTTCATCTAATTTTAATATTTTTCGATTAACTGACACTTTTTCGGTAAATTTTAATTTAATTTTTAATTAAAATAATTTTGTTTTAAAGCTAAATCCAAGTCCAATACCTTTTGATGAATTAAATACTTGGGAATATTCATTTCAACGTGAAGGATCATTTAATAGTAGATGTCAAAAATGCTTTTTAGTTGACAGACTTTTGTGTTTTGGAATAGCTAAATCTATGCCTATTTTTGAAAAATTGACTTTATCTGATCAGGTGTTTATGTACATTTATTTTTAACTCTAGTTAGCGTAGAAGCGGATTTTTATTGCAATCCTTGATGAATATGATATCTAAAAATTTTGTTAAAAATTGTAAAGCATATAGCTATTAACTTCCTAAGGCTGAGCAGTAGGCGGCGTGGTGTAATGGCTAACACATCATTCCGGTTTACTGAACATGCTGGTTCGCTCCTAGCCGCCGAATAACCTTTTGCACTAGCTAAAGGAGATAAATAGCTATAGTCCAGCTGCTTTACTAAATATGCAAAAATGTTGAAATAATTTACATGTGGATATGGGTAAGGGGTTTTCTTATTAAAATAGAACAGATATGAGATATCCGTCTATATATCCGGAGATATCCGTACATCGATTGCTGTCAAGTTTTAACGATTGTTTTTAAATAATAGATTGCACATTTAAGCCGGATTTGGCAATTGTTTCGTACATTTACAAACACATACCTAGCTTGGGAATTAGACTCTGAAACCTGGACACGTAAAGATAATATTATGCCTGCTCTTAGTTTTATGAAGAATCCTGTATTCTTAAATGATGATGAGTAAATATTTTTCTAATAATTTTACTAAAAATTTCAAAAAAAATTTTTTGCTTTCAATTTTTAGAATAATTAAATCGTCGGATTATGTATTTACAAAATCTGTTGCCCATTTTAAACGTGCTTCATTAACAAAAGTTGAATTTGCTTTGTTAATAGCTATTATCCTTTCGAAATCAGGTAGACACTTAAATTTAAAAACGTACGGCTGACTCGATAAGCCTTAAAATGGCTCGGAAAAATCGGCCCGACTCGAACAAGACTCGATAATATTTTTACCAGATTTCTGGAATATTAACACGCATTTTCAAGCAATCCGCAGCCGAAATCCGTGATATACTAAAGGTTAATCTGGAGATATAAGGTCATTTGAGGCTATAAGTTGCACGGATATAAGTGGATACGGATATCGACCTCACAGATCCGGATACGGATATCAAAATCCTTGTCCATTACCAAGTCTGAAATAAACTTTAATTTTTAAAAAAAGGTGCTGAAGGCATGTCTGTTGAAGGAAGAGACTTACTTTATGACGAATCCGTTAAATACACAAATATTTTACTTAGATATAATCAAAGAAGATTAGGTTTACTTGAAGGGGCTCAGAGATTGGCTGAATGTGGTCGACTAATTAATCTGAGTATTGAAAATGAATATAATTTTCGGTCAATGGTCTCTCATGAAATTAAATATTTTTCAATGAGTACTAATTACTCGAGATGTTCAAACTTTTACGACAAAATTTTCAGAAAGAAGTGATTAAAAATGAACAATTTTTATAAAAATGTACATATTATCTTTTACCTCTTTATTTTGTTCAAGAATTCTTTTTTTTAATTTAAAATTATTCGACATTGGATATATGTAGTTTTTTAATACTTTTAGGAAGGAAAAAGGAGTGGGTTATACGAACCAAACTATTACCCTTTTGCCTAAAGGCTGTATGGCCTACTTGGAATTTTTTTAATTTTTATTTAAATAAAATTAAATTTTTTCAAAAAAAAAATGCTTAAGACTTGTCTGCTGAAGAAAAAGAATTATTTTTAAATGAATCTATTAGATTTACAAAAGTTTTCAACGGCGATAAGGTTCAATTTAAGGGGGTAAAAGATTAGATTATTAATCGAAGTATTGAGAATGAACATATCGGTACTTTGTTCACATCCCACTCCTATTTGTGTCTCAGATTAATTTCCTTTTTATTTTTCGCTGCCTCGAAATGGTCAAATTTCCTTCATTATAAATGTTAATTTTTGTTGATAGTGATCAGATAATGATTAGATATTGAACCATCTCAGAGCGATACAATATCGATTAATGGGAAATGACTTCGAAAACTGGAACAAGTATATTTAATAATGATCACAATTTGCTCGTTAAGCCTTGAGCAAGCCAAAAATTATAAAATTGAAATTTTTTAACATAAAATCCTCAAATGTCTGATCCTCAAAGGTCAGATCCTAAATAGAGATCGGTAAAATCGCATTTGCAGGATCCTGTATCAGGATTGGGTTTTAAAATTTCAAACAGGACAGGACCCTGCAGGATTAATTCTGAAAATCCTGAAATCCTGCCAATCCTGTCATTTTTTCCAGGATCCTGTCCAGGATTTCAGGATTTTCAAAAAATCTCAAAATTTCACAAAATTTGCCTGCGGCGCTGAAAATCAAATTTTTGGATACTATGTCCTAACTAAATCTTCGCTGAAAAAAGTTGTTCCAGCATTGGAACGTCATCCCCACTGTTGGAACAACTTCCCCCATCACTTAGTCAACATCAAAAGTTTGGTAGTTCAAGTAGTGTAAGTCGAGTACCAAGTAATAGGGGAAAACCCTAGTAGCTGCTTCGAAAGGCCAAATCCCTCGCTATATCCTTAGATCACTTCAAATATTCGAATATCACTAAAATACAGTAACTACATTCAACGATATACCTAACTCAAAATACTCCCTAATCTGTCCAAATCCTCTCATATACCATTCACTTCCCTTTACATCTTGTTGTTCCAGCATTTTGTTCCATTTTCCAGCTTGTTTTTTTTCCTTTGTTCCAGCTTGTTGTTCCAGCAGGCAAAACTTTAGGAATTTTGGTGCCAGATTTCTTCCTTTTTAATCGCCGCAGGCGAAAATTTTGAGGATTTCGGAAGGCCAGTAAGACAAAAATCGTCCTTTTTCAGCGCCGCAGGCGACAAAATAAAATCCTGAACCGTGAAAATTAACAGGATGGATCCTGTATCAGGATTGGGCAAAGTGAAAAGTTCGTGCTTTAATCTTTACTGAAAGTTATGTAAATTATTGAAGAAATGAAAATTAATATTCTAAATTTAATTAAAGCATAAAATAAAATTTTAAATAAAATAAATCACACAAAAAAATATTTTTTTGTCCAGTTAATCAAATAAAAAAAAGTTCAATCTAAACTAAGCAAAAATTTATTTTGGGCAAATTAATTTTTAAAATTAAAATTCTTTAATTTTTTCCCATTTTCTATATTTGGGTTGCTAAAAATAATTTTATTTTGTTTGTATTTATTTAAAAAAATTCTTCACGTTATGAAGAAATTCACTTAAACCCTTCTTTCGTAACAACACCAAAACCAAAATACAAATCTAAATTCTCTAATCTTTTTTTGCAAACTAAAATAAAAATCACTAAAAACATTTTTTGAATGGTAAAAGTGGCCAAATAAAAAGCCAAATCCCCTGCCAAATTAACTCATTATTTTTATAAAAAATAAAATGAATTTATTTAAAATTAAAATATTCTCAATTTTAATATTCTTTTGCTTTAAATTAATTTTGGGGCAAATAATAAATAAAAATGGGAAAGGCGATGAAATTACTGGAAGACTCCCTGGAATAAATTTTGATATTAATTTTAAACACTATTCGGGTAATTTAAATTAGGATCGAACCTCCCTCTAATGTATACTTAAATTAACAGACCTGAAAAAACTGTAGCTTTAGTGTGCTTAAACTTAAATAGGGGATAAGGATTAGGGAGAACCTCCACTACATAACCAACTTTTACATAATTAAAAATAGATTGATCACTAATATCTAATCACTAATCACTAGTATCGAGTTTAAATAGTGTATCTAGAGTGATTAGGCAGTAACGTATCCGACGGTACAGAACAAACTAAAAATTTTCGTACTGTAAAAGGATACCGATGAAAATTTCTTGTTATTTATTGGTTATCTACCGGTATTACGGTCGGAA